TTATGATTTTAATTATACCGTGTTTTTAATTATACCGTGTTTGGTACCATTTTAATCAGAAAAACGAGATGAATACGATAATCGAAGCTTCATTGATGAAACCCTAAAAATAAAGAATTTTGATTTTTGAATTTAAAAGACAGAAGACGCACGAGTGTTTCATGTTTGCCGAACGCGTCAACCTTCTGCTTCTCTTTCTTTTTAACCGACTTCGTCTATTCGCCGTCCTCTTTTATGTTAAAAACTTTAATCACTCGTTACACACACAATTGTTAACGTAATTATATCATATTTGGTGTCATTTTAATCAGGAAATCTAGCCAAATACAACAGTAAAAGTTTCATGAAAAAATAGTAAGAAATAAGAAAGTTACAATCTTTTCCTTTGCTTGCATTAGTATGTGTCTCACCAATATTTGATCCTCGTCGTTTCGGCGACCGATCGTGTTTCATTCTTGACTGATTTCGAGGGGGATCCCCCCAGTAGTGGGGATACAATTTTAACATTTACGGTAGAGATCTTTTTAACATTTACGGAGAGAATACTGTATTAGTGTTTTGATAAATGAAAAAGGAAACTTCACTTACCATCATAGGATGTGGTTTTGGTCGATTTGGATGTCGCTAAGAAAAAATTTGGCCTATCCCGATTTGACAAAACAGGAGTAACACCTCACAACTGCACAAATTCTATTTTTTCTTCTACGATAAAACAAGACATTTTCGATACGTGTTCTTATATTAATCAAACACTAATGTGTCAAGATCTGAAGAATTCTGCTTTAAATACTGTTTTGTACTTCTTGAAGGAATCTGTTAGAAGATATATTCTTCTATTGGTTGAAAAGGTCTAAACAAATAGTAAACCGAAGGGAATGAAAGCCTTACAAGGATAAAGAATGTAAAATTTGTTAATAACAGAAGGATTCATAAAACGTATTGAAAACTGTATTTCGGTACACAATAATCTCATAAAACACCAGCAAGTCTAATTAGATATTCCCGGGAAAGTTGGAATTTTTACTAGAAGCTTAGTTAGTTATTATAATAAATGCATTATTTGTGTGTAGCAAAATTTTTCAATGATTCAGAGATGTGCCTTAAGAAGCAGAATTTTACGAGTTTATCGTTTGCAATCCGGTGACCAGCTACACGGATTTCGTGTATTGTTCCTCACAATTAGTCACCTCGTAAGGGCCATCATTAGGTAGAGGTAAATATCTTTTCTTTTTTAAAAATTTTGAATTCTACAGTACAAGTTATAAAACGAATATAAAATAATAAATGTCGAAAACGAATTTGTAAAGCGAATAGAAACCCGTATTTTAAACAGCGGAAGGCATGTGGAGTAAATTTTTTGCATAAAATATTTTTAAAAATTAACGTCAAACTGTTTTTATACCTACCTTCTACTGAAACATTTAAATAAATGTTCCAACATTCCAAATTATTAATATCATCTTCGATATGGAAAACATAGACTGTAGTGGACAATATTTTTTTCGTTTCTTACTCTTCGGACCTGCCGTTCCGACCGTAGACACCGGCTATCGGTTTGGGTAGGCAGAGTTAAATATGCGTCACTTACCACAACAATAAGGCCGATTTTTAACCGACTTCGAAGAAGGAGGAGGCTACTCAATTCGACCAGTATATCTTTTTTTTTCTATGTGTGTCCGCCGATTACGCCTAGCTGGATGCACCGATCGGAACGAAACCTTTTGCATCTGGTAGGTTCTGACTCCCCATTGGTACCATTATCAAAAAATTTTTCATTTTTTAATTGCAAAGTATTGTTATTGCAAAAAAACCGGCAACTTTTGAAATAAAGTTTTCTCGATTTTAGTGCGCTTTTAATATCTTATCACGGACATGATTCTGAACAATTTTGTTCATATACAAATTTCGCGGAAAGCTTTAGTTTTCGAGATATTAGCGAAAAATTGTTGAAAAGTTTTGAAATCAACTTTGGACGATTTTAATGTCCTTTTAATATGTTATCAGGGGCACGATTCTGAACAACATTTTCCTTATCCGCAATTAAGGGGAAGCTTTAGTTTTCGAGTTATTAGCGAAAAACTATTGTTACTAATATATGTATGTATTGAATTCCGCGTATGGCTTCGTGTCTCTGGTGGTGTATGAGTCAACATGCGTCGCCGATTTTCTACTGTTTCTACAAACATGTCTTGTCGGCCGAAAATCAGTATACATGTATAATAACTATTGTTATTGCAAAATCCTATTCTTTGGTATTGTTATGTAAGAAATGTCTCACAGTATCCTAT